AAGAGCTTCCCAGATGAGAAAACACTAAAGGAGTTCATCATCACTAAACCATTATTATATGAAATGTTAAAGGGGCTTATTTAAGAAAAACAAGATCAAAACTGTAAACAATAAAATGGCACCCTGGCTGGTATAGCTTAGTGGATTGAGCACGGGCCTGCGAAGCAAAGGGTCGCCGGTTCAATTCCCAGTTAGGGCACATGCCTGGGTTGTGAGCCAGGTCCCCAGTTGGGGGCACATGAAGGGCAACCACACACTGATGTTTCTCTCCCTCTCTTTCTCCTTCCCTTCCCCTCTCTCTAAAAATAAATAAATAAAATCTTTTAAAACTGTTTTTTAAAAATGGCAATAAATATGTATCTATCAACAAATGAATCTAAAAACAAACTATGCAAACAAGAAGAACAGAGACAGAATCAGGGATATGGAGGGTGTTTTGATGGTTGCTGGATGGGAGGAGATGTGGGGAAATGGAGGAAGAGATAAGGGGATTAAGATGTACAAACAGGTAGTTACAGAATAACTGTGGGGATGTAAAGTACAGTATAGGAAATGGAGTAGCCAAAGCATTTATACGCATGACCCATAGACATGAACAATGGTGTAGGGATTGTTTGAGGGAGTGGAGTGTGCTGGATGGAGGGGGACAAAAGGGTAAAAATCAGGACAACTGTAATAGCATAATCAATAAAATATAATTTAAAAAGTAAATAAAGATTGTTTATTTTCAGAGAAAAGATAAGAGAGGGAGAAAGAGAGAGAAACAGAAACATCTATCAGCTGCCCCTCGTGTGCCCCAAACTAGGGACCTAGCCCACGACCCAGGCATGTGCCCTGACCAGGACTCAAACCAGCAACCTTTTGGTTTGTAGGCTGGCACTCAATCCACTGAGTCACACCAGCTATTGTGTAAGAGTAAAGCCCATTTCTGATTCTTCATTTTTTACCTTATACTTAGAACAGAGCCTCGTATACAGCAATAATTTTAAGTATTCAACAGATATCTGTTGAACTGATCTTGAATGACAACTAGTAGGAGCTCAATTATGTAAAACTGGGACAAAACAGAGCAGATGTTTGCAAAGAAAAGAAACATAAAGCCTGAGCAAAAACAAGAAAAGAGGAAAATGTGGGCAGAGAATAGCCTAATTTGGATGGATTAAAGCTCTCACAGAAAGGCCCTATTTGAAAGTTTAATGATGTTATGTGCGACACACCAGTGTCAGCACTGTGGTAAAAACTGGAGTTCAATATCGAGGAGATGTATCCCAAGAAGGTGGTAAGGGCGCATAACAATCTTTATTTCAGACATTTGGCTGAATAGTGGCTGAATGAAAATGGGCAAAAGGAGAGAAGTTTTAGGAAAGATCAAAATACAAGTAAGAAAGATTCAGGATGCCAGAAGTCCAAAAGTAAAGTGTCAGGTTTGATTCTTTCTTAGGGACTCAGAGGGAGAATGTGTTCAATGTGTCTCTCCGAACTTCCAGTGGTTGCTGGCAATCCTTGCCTCGTTGCAGCAAACTCCCATCTCTAGCTCTGTGGCCACATGGCATTCTCCCTGTGTGTCCCTGTATGTCTCTGTGTCTCTTTTCTTTTAACCACAGCAGTCATATTAGAGTTAAAGGCCACCTCACTCCAGTGTGAACTCGATCTTAACTAATTACATCTGCAAAAAACCTATTTCCAAATACGGTCACATTCTGAGGTTCTAAATTGGCATTTGGGGGTGACAGTGTTCAACCCAGTATAAGTATTTTCCTAACTTATCCTTATTTTTTTAAGAGTTGTTTATTTATTTTTAGAGGGAAGGGGATGGAGGGAGAAAGAGACAGAACAAAACATCAGTGTGAGAGAGAAACATGGATCAGTTGCCTGTCATACACCACCCCCCATTGGGGGCCAAACCCAAAACCAGGCATGTGCCCTGACCAGGAATCAAACTGGCAACGTTTTGCTTTATGGGATGATGCCAACCCACTGAGCCACATTGGTGAGGGCTCTTACCCTTATTTTTATAATAGCTTCAATAGGCTGTTATTATAAGAACTAGAATTTTGACCTTAAACAGGAGGATAGGAAAACAGATATTCAGGTCATAGAATTTAAATTCCATCTATTTCTCTTCCCAGTTGTGTTGCCTCTTCAGTTGATAGTTTTCTCATTTAATAAACAGTGAGTGATGTTTCCGAGTGTTTTGAAGGGGATTAAGTGATATAATATATGTAATGCATTTAGCATGGTACCTGGCCCAGGGGGACAGTTCTTTCCTCCACAGAGGCTGCCCTTTGCTGTAAGCGGGATGGAAATGAGTGTTTCTGTTCACATAAACAAAGATGATTTATCATTTTCATATAGTTGCAGGCTGGAAGTCCTCTTTGCAGAGCTACTTGCATTGTTTTGATTTACCACTTTGCTACCAAGATTCCTCCATGCCTGGTTGTTCAATACTAACATGAGTGGTGTACCACCCTTGTTGACTCATACTCCATAGAAATGCTGGATCATCCATCACTGTCCTTCAGTGTTTAGAATTTCAGTTTGTCCATCAACTTTATAACACTTCACTACAAAAGCAACTGCTTAAACATAATCATCATCATCTTCCTTAAGTTGCTTTTTTGAAAGAACAATTTTAAAATAAATACCTAAATAATGTCTTAACTTTCATAAATACATTATTTCACTAAACCTTCAGAACTCTTGTAAATGGAATACCAAGTATTTTATCTCATTTTTTTAAACGAGTAAGTTGATATTCAAAGTGGTTACATGAGATATACAGCACTTTGCTGTACCCTGGTCAGTGGAGATGTCATACATGTATCTTCCATAGTACTTGCTTATATTGATTGGCCTTATTCTATTGTTGAACATCTGGTAATAAAAGGTGAACATTCTAATCTACATGTGCAGTCTTGGTGGTCACTATTTTATCCATAGAGAAAACTGGCTACTATACCTTTGAACAGACTTAAAACTTGATGCTAATTTGTCAAAATCTACATTGGTCTGCTGGTTTGCTTGATTTACCTCTCAATCTGGTTGGCTTGCTGTTTTCCATTGTGCCACAGAGAAGCTGGCAGGGGACGTAACAATTTGAAGCACTTTTTGACATTTGTGAAACACTTTTATGAGTCCAAACTCTTGTATTCAACTGATTGTATGGATCGATGTATAAATACATCATGGAAATGCAATACCTTTAACACTATGCTTCCATTCGCCGAACAGGCAAATATTCTTTGGATTTAAAGAATTTCTGTATGCTATTGCCTGTTGTAAGGTGCATGCATAACTAGTGTCCATGTAAGATAGGTCCAAACCTCTAAGAAAATTTTATGAGCCAATCGAGCCAAACTGATGACAGTTGCTCAGAAGCAGAATTTCAACGGATTGAGAAAATGCTCCAGAAAATGGCAGCTTTATCACTTATTTTATTACACATTAGAATCAAAGGGGAAGATGTAAATGGGTTACATGAAATTTATTGGTGATAGATTAGGGAGGCGGGGGAAAGCAAAGCAGGGAAATCTCTGGGACTGGATAAAAAGTAAAACAAACAGACACATACTTTTTTTATGTGAGCAGTTATAGGACAGCTAACCATTCACACGATAATAATAACAACAAAGGAATTTGTGGTCTCTGCTCTGGTGGTTGGTTGTGCTTTGAGGAGTCCAGAAAAAAGGAAATTACTTTGATATTCCAAAGTTATCATAGATACAAAAAGGCACGCACACATACACACATACACACACCGGATAGGCTCAGTTAAGGCAAAATTGACCTTTGTTAGGGAAAAACACGGGCCTAGGATACAACTGCTTTTAGTTACAAAGTTTTAATTTCAAGTCTCTGAGTTTGTAAAGCCACAGTGCAGGCCTCCCTTAAGCTTCTCAGGTTTAGTATGCCGGCCCCTTTTTCATTCACAGGAGGCAGGCAGGGAAATTCACAAACTGACTTGTAAGATCAAAACAAATCATGCATTAATTTCAAACCTCAGGAAGCCCAAGGCTGTGTACCAACTACCTAAATCTAGAGAAACCAAATGCAACAAAATTTCTGGTAGTTCACAAAAGCTGCATATGCTTTAGGTCTGGTATTTGGCTCTACATGCATTTTAAAAGTGTATCTACATGATTCTTTTGGTTTACTTTATACTAAGTACAGTAATTTCCGTTTATAACAGAGAAGGAAGCACTTAAAATAAAACAATAACAAAAAAGAGATCTTAGTGCATGTGAGCCAAAGACAAGGCTAGATGGTTTCTGTGCCTTCTGAATTCACTGGGGGACCTCTAATTTCTGTTAGCCTCGTATTCCACCATATATAAAAAAACTGTTAACAGAACACAGATTTCATGAGTTTGTGGTTTGTCTAAGCTTCCTTTTTAAAAATCTTGAACATAATGCAGATAAAATTGATCTCCATTACTTTTTAAATTGCACTTTACAAAATAAAAATAAAAACATTTTTCAGGTTTATTTCAGAACACTCTAAACCCCAGGAATGTTTCTTGATATGGATTAAGCAATTTAGAGATTTAAGATAAACAGGCACCAGCATTGCAGTAGATTTCGTAATGAGAAAGCATTTCAGCACAGGTTTTGCCACAAAGCATTTGGGAGTCTTAAGTCAGAGCTTCAGAATTCCTTCTGAAAAGGACAAAAGAGAGACTTCCTGTCATTTCCACTGGGTCTGCATGTGGGACCAATATGGGCAATCCAAAGTTTAAACAGATGCAAATGATGAGGGGAGGAGGCAAAGCCATGCCTAGTTTTACATATTTCTCCAAATCCAGATTGAATTAAGCCAGTCTCTCCTAAAAGCTTCCAGAGCAGACTTCCACTGAAGTTACTGCACACTTGAATGGTTTATTTCACCAATATTTGCTTATGGAAATGAAGGGGAGTGACAGAGGGGAAGGAGGAGGGGAGCGGAGGAGGGGCTTAGGGCTGAGGGAGGCTCTGACCACAGCACAACACACCAGTAACCTTGTCTGATGTGATCATTAACCCTTCTGGAAAAGGCAGCTGGCAGTTCTCTGAGGTTTGTCATTAGAATGTGAGAAGAGCCACACAGATACTGCACAGACTGTTCAAAGAAGTTTGGTTTCCTTTGGGAGCTACTGTTCCTGTATAGTGTAGCAGAAAAATGAGATTTCAACAATTCTTTTTTGTATTTTTAATTTTTATGGTGAGTCTTCTTCTTATCAATGGACAGAGACCAGGTAAGACTGACCTATTTGTAGCAAGTCACTTGTTTTTGTGCCTGTTTCTCTCTGTGTGCCCCTGAGCACAGTTGTGTTTCCGTTGAAGATCACTGAGGTGTGCTTGGAGGCACTGGGGGTGTGCAGGGTTTCGGAAGTATGCTATCTGTCCTGTTAGGTCTATTATTCGGTTAGTTTTTAAATAGCCGGATATTAAAGTGGTAGCAGATATTTTACTACTATTTTTCTAATTGTAAAAAACATTGATTCTTTAGCTATGGTAGATATGTTGTCCTAACAAGTAAAAAGGAATGAAAATGTTTAGTCCATTCATTACAGAGGTAAACAAAACTTACAGGTTTTTAGGTAAAATGCAAAATTCAAAGCAATTTATTAAAACAGCATGTAGCTGGCTAAAGTGAGGCAGTGTTGACTTAAGTAACAACATAAAATTCATAATGTGTCAAAATGTAGATGAATTCTTAAAATTGGTCAATAGCATTATTTTCAGTTATACATAATTAGGTGTGTCACTTAAAACAAAAAGAAAAGTACAATCTTAGTATTGTGTTTATAAAGTCAAAAGTGCCAAAAATATCTATAGTCAAGATAAATAAATATTCATTTACTTGGCGTATTCTTTAAAGCTGATATCAGCTGTGTTGTCCTTATCCAACAGGAATTTAGTAAACAGTTATTCTAAAGTGCTTTTACTTCAAAACCAAGTATCTAAGATTTCTAAGCACTGGCAAGTAAAAAAAAAATAGAAAATTTTCTGACTCAGGAAAATGCATACCCAAATTTAAATAGATGGGTGATTATATCCAAATGTGTTATATTGTTCACTTAATAATATAATTCTCCATTTAGAACAGAAAATAGTACATCAGTAGTTAAAAATTCCGTCTGCCTTTCAGTTAATCAGAAGTTTGATCACTGAGGTTATTTCAAATGCAATCCCCTGGTGTGCTGTTTTACATAAACAAGAAAAAGGTCCCCAACTAGCAACTTGGAAAGCATTCCTTTTCACTGTTTACAGCCATTGCTGCTCAAACCATTTCTTCTTTTGTGAAATATGGAACATCTTGGACAGTGTTCTTGTAAAATATTTGTGATTAATTCACGACATAAAGTAGAAGGTCCAGGAGCATTTAGGAAGAAGGCATGCAGAAGGAGGGGGACATTACTGTTAGATCCTTCTGTTAATGTGAACTGTTGGGAATAAACCCTGTGTTTCTACATCACATTAACTGTGTATGGCATACTCACATCTAAACAAATAGCAAATAATCACATTATAGTTTGAATCCTAAATATTCCCTGTCATCCCCCAGACTGAGAAAGTTCGTTTTCTGAAAAAATGCTCCTAATATTTCTCTTTTTTCCCCTCAGCTAATTTGGCAATGAGAAGAAAACTACATAGACTCAGCTGCCATCAGAGGAGATGCATTCCTCTCCACTCACGAGTGCCCTTCCCCTGAGGTATTTCTGATGGAAAATCGCTTTCCTACATTTAGGCAGAGGTCCATATTGGATAGACATACCAAAGAATGTCTGTTCCTATTTTGTGCCATGTAATAATGGCTTTATGGTAATGTCAGTTCAAGACATGCATGCTAACAGATGAAACAGTGAAATGACATGATCATTAAAAATAGTTTAATGGGGTAGATGAGCAAAATGTAGGAAAATCTTGATAATTGCTGAAACTGAATAATAGTTATATGGGGATTAATACTATTTTGTGTGTTTGACAATTACAATTAAAAATCAGGCACCAGGACAATATAATTAAGAAAGTACCTCTAAACATGTGTTTTGAAAAACACTGAATAGCTCCCTATTGAAAGCATTTGGATATATATGCCCAACAACACTGTATGAATGAATGATGTGATAGCCTCAATATAGTTTATTTTTCCTGATACTATTTCTTTTAATATATAAAATCAACTTAATTTTAATAGCATAGCATTTTTACAGTCTCACCCATGGAACTGTTCTTGATGGTTGCATCTTTAAGAACAAATTCTGAGTAGAATTTTGCTCCTCCCCCACTTTTTTGTTAAAAAAAAAAAAAAAGATTAAAAGACCAATGATTTTACATCACCATGAAGCGGTAATACTACCTGTATCAATTAACTTCAAACACTGCCCAAGTTGAAGTTACTTTGCACGAAAAAAAAAATTAACTTGACATTCTATTTAATTATCTTAAGCTGTTAAGTCATAAAATGTATCTTCCTTTAAAAAATGCCATAGAAATATTCCTTGGCTGGTAAATATACACAGACAATTGCTGAATTAGCTTATTCAGCTGGCCTATAGACTGTAGTGTTTATGGCACTATTCATCCAGAGGAAAGAATGGTTGCTATACCTCTTTAATATGTGTTTTCAAACCCAGTGAAAGCCCCGCATAGGACATTAAAAGAGGGAAGAGCAATTCGATAATAAGCATTTCAGTAATAAGCATTTTTCACGAGGACTGAGACAAAAAGCCAATTTCTCTTTATCTATACCTGTAACAAATTACTCTTTGCTATCAACATATGAAAAATAAATTTGGTGAAAGAATCCAGAAAGATACAATAAGAAGTTCTTGAGAAGACAATTAGTAGAGGCTCAACTATGCTTTAAAAGGATTTTATATGTTTTTAAAAAATCCTTTGCCGTGTGTTGATAATGCATTTTAGTCTCACGTATAAATAATTAATGGTAAAATCTACGCTGAGGAGGAGTGGGGAAGTTCAAGATTTTCCCAGCACTCCTCCACAAATAACAAAGAGGAGAGGAGGCATTTCACAATAGCAAGGGAATTCCTGCATATACAGAGCAAGATACCTTACATAACTGTAAATAAAAGCCCTTAGTTAGCCACAGGTTTTACTGGCTTTCTTTACAAACCACCTGCCATAAAAACTAGTGTTGCATGTAAACAAGATAGAGTTAGGAAATTTGAATCTGCAAAGTTAAGGAAAAATTTTGACCTACAAGCCAAATTTGTAAACCAAAGGGAAATTTAAGTGAAGGCTATATAGGCCATTTAATAAAAACAATCCTGGACAAAATTAGGCTGAACCCGTTAAAGAGCTGCTCAGCTTACAACATTCATTTTGTCAGTGTTTGGATTAGCTCTACATTGCAGCCACAGTTCTTTGAAGAATGTATAAAAACCTTATTTTGGAATCCAGAGATAGCATAAGAACCAATGCAAGATAACACAGATAATTTTCTAAGATCTTGCTGAACCAGTGCTAGAACAGCAAGTGCTACCTTCAAATTTGATAGCATCATTCTCACTGTCCTGAAATGTGCACATATTTTATATGTCTTGCCACAAAACTTCCTGTTGACTTGATAACTGCAGGCCCTATAGACCTAGGTAGTGGAACTCTGAGGCAGAACCTCCCTTTCATTTATTCCCCTCTGTTTTCCTGCACACTTTAGATAAAATCACATGTGGTTACTTGATTCAGTTAGGGCCAAGTAAAACTGTAAAAGGATAGGAAGGGTAAACAGTTAACTTTGGAATTTTTCCAGATTAACCCTTTAGAGTGGTTTAGACTTTTAACTCACCTCATAGAAATGTTCTATGACCTCAAACGTCGATGTTTTCAGCTTCTAGAGTCCTCTTCAGTGATCCTCAGTAAGACTTCCTAACAGATAGAAATCGACTTAGTCAAATAGAAAACTTATGCTGCATGCAATTCATATTCTTGATTTCTTTTTTCTCACAAAAGTATTTCGGCATCACATTCATCACTAAGTAAATTGGAGTGGAGGGAAGCAGGAGAAGGGCCGTCGGAAATCCTAAACTTACAGGTCGATGTGAGAGCTCCAGAGTGGAAAATGGGGTAGGGGGCTTTAGACTCTAATGATTTCTCCCTTCCAACAGTGAAATCTTACTACATCAATGCTTTTACTTACAAATGTGTGCTTTCAATAACTATATATCCTATTAGTACATTCCCTATCCAGCTTTTTAATTATAATATATTTACATGGTGTGAAAACTTTTTTAACAGTATGGAGATATATAAAGTCAGAAGTAAATCTTCCCACCCTCGTGCCCATTTTCACTTACCAGAAGTAATGGCTATGAAGAGTTCTGGTGAAGTTACCTTTTATAAATGAGATCAGCTAATATTGTCTTGCCACCCTTTAAAAAAAATTGTATTGGTTAATAAAATGATATAGTTTTCAGATGCACAATTCTATAAATGCCACCCTTGCCATTCAAAATGTAAGTTCTATTTTCTGCCTTATTCTTACCCTCCAAGTCATGGACTTCTTACCTGCTTGACCAAATCTCTGCCCTGCCTCCCAGCTCTTTCCACAAGTGTCCTGTTGTCTTGGCCCTTCTCACTCCATTCTGCCTCTCTGGCTAAACTGAAAGCCAAGTTTGCCTTTGGCACAGCATCCCCACGTTTTCATGGGGCACTTCATCTCCAACTTTATCAGGGCTCTCCCGAAAGGACTCTTCTGTTTACTCTTAGGAGCTTCTGAGTCCCATTCATCTATAAATTTCAAATATTTAGTGACCTCTAGTTTCCTTAAACTTCTTTTTTTTTAAGATTTTTTTTCTATATCTTTAGATAAATACGGGAGGGAGGAAAAAAGGGAGAGAAACATCGATGGCAGAGAGAAATATCGATTGGTTGCATCTCCTATGCGCCCCTACTGGGACGAAACTGCAAACCAGACATGTACCCTGACCAGGAATGGAACCGGTGACCATTTAGTTTGTGAGACGGCGCCCAGCAACTGAGCCACACCAGTCAGGGCTCCTTAAACTTCTCCACCTCCTTTTCTAACTCACAGCAAGAGCTAATTCCTCTTCCCACAGCAAATGGAGATAATCAAGCTGCACAATCAGACCCTGCCCACAAACTTACAAACATCTACATCTGCAACATTTCTAGTCTCACTTCCTAATCTCTGACTAACAGACTCCTCTCTTGGGTAAGGTTAATCTTTCTACACTTCAGGAACTTTGATCCAGCAGTTACTCCCTTTTTTCCCTAGAATGTTCCTCAGTCAAAACCATTTTATGCTACTCTATATTTTTTTAAAAAGTGCACCATTGACTTTATTGTGCTCTCTAGTGAACAACCCACGTTCTATACACAGCCTATTTTCTCGAAAAGATGGCACTTTCCTGTCCTTCCAGCTACTGTTAACACACTGCTCCCCAGTACACACTGGGAAGGGTCCCTAGTGACTTCTCAAATCCAGTGAACACGTTTTGGCCCTCATCCCAGTTATCTTGCTGTAGGTCAAATCATTGAATGAATTTTCCTTGGTTTCAGTGACATCATCCTCCCTTTTGACCATTTATCTCTATATTGGAAACAAATTACTATTCTTTTCAGGACCTGCAATGGTGTCCAAATGCCTTCTTGGCATGACCTTAGCTGTCCCGCGGTAGACGGGCCCATCCGCAGTATGCATGCAGCTCTCTACCGTGGCTTCTGCAGAGCGTATTCCTGTAACTCAGTTCCCAGTTCCAATACCATAAGATGCCATGAGGAAGGGTTTCTCTGATGATCCTTTGTACAAAAAACTGATACCAACATACAGTCTTTTTCTTTTTTTTTTTTTTAAGGATACCTCACTCTATCCCTATTTTCCTTTTCCTGGTTTGTTTTTCTTCCATAACACCGAATGCCATCTGACATAACATATACTTCCTTTGGTATTTGTTTAGTGTCTGCCTCTCTTCATTGGACTGTAAGGTCCAAGAGGACAGGGACTTTGCTTTGATCACAGCTGTATGCCCAGTGACTACAGTGAGTTCTTCAGAAATATGTGATGAATGAACAAGGGAAGAAAGGAATGAGTACCTAAAAGTAAACTCTTCAATTCCTCCCACTCAGATATTTCTTCTATGTTTTCAAAATTTGGAGAATTATAAAGATACTATATATTAGATGTTTACTATATAATATATGCTATGAAATATACATGTTATTGTCTCAAACGCAAATGTCTGAACACAGTGTCCTAAGAAATGTCATTTCTATCTTATAATATATTTTTTAAGATTTATTTATTTATTTTTAGAGAGGGAAGGGAGGGAGAAAGAGAGAGAGAGACAGAGAGACAGAGAGAGAAACACCAATGTGTGGTTGCTGGGGGCCATAGCCAGCAACCCAGGCATGTGCCCTGGCTGGAAATTGAACCTGCGACACTTTGGTTCACAGCCCAAGCTCAATCCACTGAGCTACACCAGCCAGGGCTATCTATCTTATAATATTTTTTTAAATGTTCTCTTCTCTTTGTCTCAATTACTACTATCTTAGTGCCTGTTATATCTCTCCAACATGACTTTAACACCTTAACTTATCACTCTAGCCACCAGTTCTGGTTCTGGAAAGTCCATTTTTCATTTTATCTGATCTTTCCAAACTGAATCCAATCATATCACAACATGATTAAAATCCTTAATTGTCCCTGTAGCCTTCAGGACAGTGAGAATTC